ATAATCTTCCTAGAACAAATCAGTTATTTAGTTGGATATCAAATTTTAATGGTTATCAAAATACCAATTAGCGCTTTTTCCTTTTGTCAACAGAAAATATTCCTATTAGCTACAAAACATACAAGAATCGAATACTTATGATCTAAACAAAATACCGGATCACATTTACCACAAGAAAGAAAAAAGTAATGATATCTGCTTTGCTTTAAGACGTAGCTATATAATTTGAATATGAAAACTGTGGGTGTGTAGAATTTGTTTACCTGAATCTTGTGGTTTCTTAAGGCGGGATGATCAAAAGCATGTTGTTTGTAGATATCTATACAATCTATTATATCTCCATCTTCACTCTACAAATAAATTACAATCGATTTTGGGAGCTCAGAAACCAGAAAAAAAAAACAAAGAAGTAATATCTTTGCATTCAGACTTAAACCATACCTTGATGGTCTTCAACGCTGGCTTATTAAGAGTCTTCAACTTCACATCGACATCTAAAGAAACTTTCCCGTAGGCTTCATTGTAAAGGACACACAAAATGGCAAGCGTTAAGAACAATCTCATCGCCGTTTTTTTTATTTTTATTTTTTTTTGTCTAGTTTTCCAATGTTACAAATAATAAATTTAGGATATATGCTTTGAATATTGGACCTTCTTACTTATAGAGCTTACAAAACCAAATGCTTACTTTTTTGGTCTGTTATCAATGTAATTAAAACACAACAATTGAGAAAACGGAAATCTCATAGATACAAAAATTAAAAAATCCATCGATTGTCATTTAACTATGAGATTGTGGTATGAAGAAAGAAATATTAACTTACCAAATATGAATGATTTATATTCTAAATTAAACTTTTTAGATATTGTACTTTTTAAAATAACATTTTTTAGATCAAATTGTATCAATTATTATATTTTAAAATATTTGTATATAATTTAAAATATTAATTAGTAATGAATTTGGATTACTATAGTTAATTCTAATATTCGGAAATTTTACCCAGTCCTAAAGACTGCCGTGAAAATAGGTTCCAGTACTACTACTTTTCATAATATTAAGTTTCTATGAAAAGTAATCTTTCGAATTTTTTTATAATTTTTACTGATCAAAGAAATTATTAATTTTCTTTTATTTTGCATTATGTTGATTTATATGTCTTGTATATATAAGTTGACTTTGCATTTTCCAACATATAAATTGGACTACAGAATGGGACATTGAGAACATGTCAAGGACAGAGACGATTCTGGCCAGGTCCTCCAAAATAAAAATGCGGCTCTGAGATGTACGTATCCCGATGGAGCTTTGCAGAATAACAATTGTACTCATCAACGTACTCGGACAGATACTGGGGATACTTGATCTGCAAGGAATAGTCTTTGATCCTAACGTTGGTGTGGAAACAGGCCTCGCCAAAGAAGTCAGAGGCCCATTCTCCACTCCCCATTGAAGTTTTCGTGTGTGGCTTCTTCGTCCCCACGTTATCACTATTGACTTCTCCACCCCACTGCACTGCGGTTGCGCTGTGTTTCAGGTTGCTGAAGAGTGTCCCCGGCCAGTAACCCATCACGTTGTTTCCGCAAGTCAGCCACCAGTTCCCGCTGTTTGGATCCTGCCAAAGACAGTCGAGACGAGGATGAAACATGAACTAAAGATAGAGAGTTTACAGGCTCCGGTCCAATTCTTATGCCATTGGTCCAAAAAGATGATCATATACTCATATATAATCTTAAACAAGAAAATGTTACCAGGAACATGCTAACGAAGATGGAATATTGGTCACCCGAAATACGTGAAACAGGTTCTATGGCTGCACCCAGTGCGAACTTAGTCGTTGTTTGCACAAATCCGGAGCATAAAAGGTTGATGCACCCTGTTTTAGTGTATGCATCTCTCTGAAAACCAAAATTGAAAAGATTAGTTATGAACTCATGGAAGTGTTGGAGAGGTTCCAATGTATGTCGGTAGTAATGTAAATGGTGTAACTCTTACAGTCCAATAGGTGAAGAGACGTGTGCGTGAGTCTCCAAAAACGCCTGGATTCACCTGAAATAGTTCAATGGACATTGGTTTACGGTTTACTTCTAATGCAAGTTATAATGCTTAGGATGAAAAAATAAACGTACCATCCAACCAGCTTCTATGCTCTCAAATGTATCTGAGATGCCAGCAAACAGCCAGATCTGAGCAGTGCTGTAGTCGCCAGCCTGAACCCTTGGAGGGTTCCAGACATTTATATCGGATTGAGCTCCAAGAAAATTGAACCCTAGAGCGACAATGACCGCGTCCTATAACATCATCAAAGATGATGAAGTGTTTCTAGGTAACATATGAAGGCTGTATGTAGTTTTCCGGTTAGTTAAGGGGTGTATTCAACGTACCGATCGTGTCTGTGGGCCGCCTTGGTTTCTCTTTTTAGCGGTTAAATTGAAATTGCCCTTGTGTTCAAGTGCTTTGTCGAGAAAACTATATCTTTGATGAGTTTTTTTCCCAAAATGATACGGTGAAGAGGCTCTGCTTATGTCTTCTCTACTGACTCTACGAACCGGTATTGTCCCTTTGGGACAGTTTCCAGATTTGGACCAAATCTGAGACGTAATTGGTTTCGAAGTACCGTTGTTTGGGATAGTAGTCTTCTTTGCATCAAACTTCACACTAGGTTTCATCTGCATGCATCAGTGTAGAATTGGTAAAGAAATAATTTGTAAGGTGTATATATATTTAGTGTAGAGTTATAAACCAAATAGTTTTATTTAATTTAATTGCAAACTATCTCTTTTTATTAAGTTGCAATTGTCTTTTGAAAAATTAAATGAATTTTGTCATTTACTCTTAGTTTGTTTTATAAATACATATTTATTTTTATTAAATTTTTAAATATAATCTTTATAAAGCAAATCAGATATTTGGTTGGATATGAAATTTCAATAGATGTCCAAAAATAACGGATCGCATTTACCACCACAGGGAAGAAAATAGAATATGATGAACAAGGTGTATCTGTTTTGCTTTAAGTCCAAGTATATAAATTGAATAGATTTTTTTTTTTACCTGAATCTTGTGGTTTCGTAAGGCAGGATGGTCAAAAGCATGTTGTTTGTAGATATCTATACAATCTATTAGATCTCCATTCTCACTCTACAAATTAATACAGTCGATTTTGGGAACTCAGAAACCAAAAATGTATAAACAGAGAAGTTTTTGCATTCAGATTCAACCATACCTTGATGGTTTTCAACGCTGGCTTATTAAGAGTCTTCAGTTTCATATCAATATCAGAAGATACTTTCCCATATGATTCATTGTAAATGCCACACAAAATCACAAGCGTTAAGAACAATCTCATCGCCTCCTTTAGTCTTATTTTACTATGTTACAAATAATAAATTTAGGATTTAGGCTTTGAATTTTGGACCCTCTTCCTTATAGAGCATACGAAATCAAAATGTTTTTTTTTTTCTTTTTCAATTGTGATTAAAACACAAAAAGTGAAAAAAGGAAATCTCATAGATACAAATGAAAAAACCATCGATATGCAGATTTGGCAAATGTCTTTATTTCTGGTCAAATCTCTGTGCTATGAAAATAAATATTAACCTACCAAGTATGAATGTTCTTTTTACAACAAGTTTCTGAACCACACATTTTTATTTCCAATATGTGACTTTAAAAGATATTTCTTTATCATTTGAGTAACAGATATTTTATTTCTAAACTTGGTCAACTTTAAATATTTATATTATTTGGTTAAATTATGGTGTTTTGTTAAAAACCTTATCAAATTTTGTCTTAAAACAAATTTGGATACTTATTAAATCAAACTTCCTTCTCTTATGAATCTTTATTAGTTTGGTTCTTTTTATAATATGTATTTTGATCACCAGACATCTTCATGATTTCCAATGTAGAGTTTAACATACTCATATTTCTTATCATTTGAGTAACTGATATTTGTTTTCAAATATTCAATTTGTAACTTGTGTAATATGATCCGAAAATTTATATTTTCTTACAAAATTTAGCTCAACAACAAAATAAGAGAAGAATCGTAGAGATTGAAGGACATTGAGAACATCTCAAGGACAACGACGATTCTGGCCAGGTCCTCCAAAGTAAAAACGCGGCTCTGAGTTGGGCCTATCCCGATGGAGTTTTGTAGAATAACAGTTGTACTCATCAGCGTACTCGGACAGCCACTGGGGATACTTGATATGCAAGGAAAAGTCCTTGATCCTCATGTTGGTATGGTAACAAGCCTTCTTAAAGAGTTTAGATGCCCATTCTCCACTCCCCATTGCAGTTCTCGTGTGTGGCTTCTTTCGCACGTTAGGACTATGGACTTGTCCACCAAACTGCACTGCGGTTGCGCTTCCTTGGAGGAGTCCGAAGAGGTTTCCCGGCCAATAACCCATCAGGTTGTTTCCGAAAGTCAGCCACCAGTTATGGGTGTATGGATCCTGCAAACCCAGTCGAGTCGAGGATGAAACATTAACTAATTAATACTATGTTAGGTATTAGTCTACTTTCGGTGTTTGACATTCTAACACACAGATTTAGGGTTTCTTAACGACGTTCGGAAACATTTTTTCATAAATTTATCTTTCAAGGGACGTTCGGAAACATTTTTTCAGAATGTGAAAGATGATATAAACCAGAAACTGTTACCAGGAATATGCTGACGAAAATTTCATACTGGTCACCATTAGTATGCGAAACAGGGTCTAAGGCTGCACCAAGGGCGAACCTACTAGTTATTTGCACAAATCCTGAGCATAGGAGATTGATGCATCCTGTTTTATCGTATGCATCATCCTGAAAATTCAAATAGAAAAGAGATTAGTTATGAGCTCATGGAAGTGTCTGAGATGTTCCAATGTCGGTAGTCATGTAAATTAAATGGTGTAACTCTTACAGTCCAATAGGTGAAGAGACGAGCGCGGGAGTCTCCAAAAACGCTTGGATTCACCTGACATAGTTTAATGGCCATTGGTTTACGGTTTACTTCTATTGCAAGTAATAATACTTTGGATGAAAAAGAACGTACCATCCAACCAGCTTCCACGCTCTCAAATGTACTTGCGATGCCATTAAACAGCCAGATCTGACCAGTGCTGTAATCACCATTTTGAACTCTCGGAGTGTTCCAGACATTTATATCGGATTGAGCTCCAAGATAATTGAACCCTAGAGCGACAGCAAACGCTTCCTGTATCATCATCAACAAAGAAGTGTTTATTGTAGGTAATTATATGAAGGTTGTTATATTATATAGTTTGTACGGTTCGTTAAGTGGTGTATTCAACGTACCGAATGTCTCCATGGGCGGCCTCCGTTTGATGTTTCAGCGGTGAAATTGTAATTGCCCTTGTGTTCAAGTGCGTTGTCGAGAAAACTGTATCTTTGATGTGTTTTTCTCCCAAACTGAGATGGTGAAGAGGCTCTGCTTATTTCTTCTCTACTGACTCTACGAACGGGTATTGTCCCTGAAGGACAGTTTCCAGATTTGGACCAAATCTGAGACATAATTGGTTTGGAAGTACCGTTGTCTGGAATAGTGGTC